TTTTTGTGTGGACTGTGGACCAATCGTACATATAATTTTTGACGGGGTACATAGTATTTTTGGAGCTTCTATTTGTTGCTCTATTCGTATAGAATCAATGACGGGGTACATAGATCATTCACATTTGCTGTTGCTCCATATGTATTAATGGCTCAGGTGGTATATACATAGATTACATTTTGTCACGGTACATATTACCATGGTAATTTGTACCTTGGCAAATGGTCATTACTATGCGTAGTACAGTAAAAATGTTGTGTAAGGACATCGTTTTGGTAACGTATTTGGAATGTATGACGCTATTATTTGTAATTGAAATATATATATTGGTTTCTATATAAGTTTACATTAGCAGGTGTTCTTTTTTGTTTGATGGCTGTAAGTAAACATGCATTACGGAATAGGTGATAATATATATAGGTTGTATACCTATTACAGGTTTTGGTGGATACAGGTTCTAACAAAATTTATTAAAATGAAAAAAACAAAATAAAAATATAAAATGACGTTTTTGGTGACAAAACAATTAGTAGATAAAAAAGAAATAAATCTTATGGCGACTAAATATTTAGTAGCTAAAACAAATTGAAACACTTTTGGCGACTAAATATTGAGTAGCTAAAACAACTCGAAACACTTTTGGCGACTAACTGTTTAGTAGCTAAAAATCAAATCATTTTTGGCAACAACAAATTTAGTCGCCAAAACAAATGAAAAATACTTTTGGTGACAACATTTTTAGTCACCAAAACATAATAAAAAAGCATAGCTGACTAAAAAGTTTAGTAGCCAAACAACAGTGACCCTTTCAGCAACTACATACTTAGTAGTTGAAATAATAGTATTGGCGACAAAAGATTTCGTCGCCGTAAAGATTTTCAGTTTTCGCGACAAAATATTTAATAGCTAAAGAAATGAGTTAAACAAATTAATAGACCCTTTGGGCGACTAATCTGTTGGTCGCTAATGTGAGTCATCGGCGACTAATACTATTTTCGTCGCTAACAGCTATTAGTTTTGCCTACTAAGGTGTTAGTCTGTAATATTGTAGTACTTTTGGCGACTAAATGTTCTTTAGTCGCTAATACCTTCGGCGATGATGTATCCCCGACAAAGTCAGCGACCAAAGTATTTGGTTGGCAAAGCCTTTTGGCGACTAAAATCAGCACTTTTGGCGACTAATATTTTAGTCGCCAAAAGTGTGTTTCCTTGTAGTGCGCCATTACAGATTCATGTCATAATAGTTCCACCTCGAAAAATTTGAATGCAAGTAATCAAATTAAATAAATAAATAAACTATATTGATAGTCCCTGCGTCTTCTCATTCGTGTTATTTTAATCTTTGTAATTTTAATTAACTCAATTTTGATTTTTAATTTTTAATTTTATTTTAATTTAATTCAATTGATAACTCCAGTTAGGATTGTCAACAGAAATGATCATTGAATTAATTGAGATCAATTCAATGAGTTACATAGGTTTCTAATTTTGTATATAAAAATATAACATATTACGCTTATCTGCGCATTTCTCATTTAAAAAAAAAAAATAGTAACAATTATAATGAATTAGATCAAATTGAGACAAAATCATAAATTGAAAATCAAAATCAAGCCAATTAACATTACAAAAATTAAAATAACACAAGGGCTAAGATATAAGGATTGTCTTGTCGGTATAATTTGCTTAAAAAAATAAATAAAAACAAAATTTCTAGGCATTTCTGAAATAAACAAATGTTAACCACAGGAGTGACCTTTGCGATTAGACTTTAGACCCTATACTCCAAGGGTTACTCTTAAGCGGTCCTACACATTTCAATACAATTTAAAGTGTAAAGAAACTATATCTACATTCCTAAATGCAAACTATAGTTAAATACAATTTCAATTGCAATTGACATGCTTGCAATTTGTGTTTTGTAGATGGCTATAACTTTTTGTTTGCAACTATGTTTACAATGGAACTAATGGGTGTAGTTTTTGTTGTGTAGATGGCTTTTGGCATTGACATGTGGATCTTCTATTTTTTTGTCCGGAAGATAATTCACAGTTTTGCAAGGATTTGGGAAGTTTTTTGTCGTCCTATACTTTTTGTGTGGACTGTGGATGCATCGTACATATAATTTTTTGGCGGGGTACATAGTATTTTTGGAACTTGTATTAATTGCTCTAGTGGTATATATGTAGATTACCTTTTGCAGTGGTACATATTACCATGGTAATTTGTGCCTTGGCAAATGGTCATTACAATGCGTAGTATAGTAAAAATGTTGTGTAAGGAGGACATTGTTTTGGTAACGTATTTGGAATGTATGACGTTATTATTTGTAATTGGAATATATATAGTTGGTTTGTATATCAGTTTACATTAGCAGTTGTTCTTTTTTGTTTGATGGTTGTAAGTGAAACATGATTACGGAATAGGTGAAAATATATATAGGTTGTATACCTATTACAGGTTGCGGTGGATACATACAGGTTCTAACAAAATTTATTAAAATGAAAAAAATAAAATAAAAATATAAAATGACGTTGTTGGTGACAAAACAATTGATAGCCAAAAGAGAAATCAATCTTTTGGCGACTGAATATTTAGTAGCCAAAACAAATCGGAAGACTTTTGGCGACTAACTGTTTTAGTAGCTAAAACTCAAAACACTTTTGGTGACAAAATTTTTAGTCGCCAAAACAATGGAAAAGACTTTTGGCGAAAAAAAATTTAGCTGCCAAAACAAAATAAAAAGCAGAGGCAACTAACCTGTGTAGTAACCAAACAATAATGACCCTTTCCGCAACTAAAAATTTCGTAGCTGAAATAACACTAATTGGCGACCAGTAATTTCGTCGCCGTAGATATGTTAGGTTTTCGTGACAAAAGGTTTAGTAGCTAAAGAAATGAGTTAAACAAATTAATAGACCCTTTGGGCGACTAATCTGTTGGTCGCTAATGTGAGTCATCGGCGACTAATACTATTTTCGTCGCTAATAGCTGTTAGTTTTGCCTACTAAGGTGTTAGTCTGTAATATTGTAGTACTTTTGGCGACTAAATGTTCTTTAGTCGCTAATACCTTCGGCGATGATGTATCCCCGACAAAGCCAGTGACCAAAGTATTTGGTTGGCAAAGCCTTTTGGCGACTAAAATCAGCACTTTTGGCGACTAATATTTTAATCGCCAAAAGTGTGTTTCCTTGTAGTGCGCCATTACAGATTCATGTCATAATAGTTCCACCTCGAAAAATTTGAATACAAGTAATCAAAGTAAATAAATAAATAAACTATATTGATAGTCCCTGCGTCTTCTCATTCGTGTTATTTTAATCTTTGTAATTTTAATTAACTCAATTTTGATCTTTAATTTTTAATTTTATTTTAATTTAATTCAATTGATAGCTCCAGTTAGGATTGTCAAGAGAAATGATCGTTGAATTAATTGAGATCAATTCAATGAGTTACATAGGTTTCTAATTTTGTATATAAAAATATAACATATTACGCTTATCTGCGCATTTCTCATTTAAAAAAAAAAATAGTAACAATTATAATGAATTAGATCAAATTGAGACAAAATCATAAATTGAAAATCAAAATCAAGCCAATTAAATTACAAAAATTAAAATAACACAAGGGCTAAGATATAAGGATTGTCTTGTCGGTATAATTTGCTAAAAAAAATAAATAAAAACAAAATTTCTAGGCATTTCTGAAATAAACAAATGTTAACCACAGGAGTGACCTTTGCGATTAGACTTTAGACCCTATACTCCAAGGGTTACTCTTAAGCGGTCCTACACAGTAAAACTATTTAATCATATAGCAGTAAGTCGCAGACTCGCGTACAAGCATATCTTCGAACCCACACTCTTAACACTGGATATGACTCGCCCAAATTTAAAAAATTCATTCTACCAACTAGGGACGGACCTAGGATTTGATTATCAGGGGCCAAAATAAATAAATAAATAAATAAATAAAGATGGAAAGACAAGTAAGGTTAGATTTAAAACATAATATGTTCGATAACTTTCAATTTTAGCCAAAAAATCAATATAAGTTATTACATCACTCTCCCTACTTTTCTACACATCTTTCCATAAAAAAAAACTAAGAAATTACTAAAATAGTATATTCCCAAACGAGGCTGCGTATACACGTTATCAAAATATATGTAACATAACCATAACAAATTGTAATTTTTTTACCAAATAGTTCATAACATTTTGCACAACAATGGTTCGTAATATTTACACTATATCATTCATAATATAATTACAATAATTCGTAACTTTCACTATAATTCATAATTTTCACTTTAGAAATACCCACTATTAGGCCCGGGCTCGAAACCGGTCCACGGCTCGGGGTGGGCCCGACCCGGTTAGACCCGGGCCTAAGCCATTATTTTGAAGCCGGACCGACTTAGCCCAGGCCATCGGCTTGCTCAAGGCCTACTCAAAGTCCGACCTAAGGTCCGGCCCGCCCAAGGCCTAGTGTTATTTTTAGTAGAAAATAATAAAATTTTGATAGGAAAAAAAAAAATTGTTCAGGTCTGACCCGCCCAAGACCCAATAATATAATTTTTGGTAGACATGAAGTACTTAACAAACCTTACAACATGAACGGTTCAGATTATAAAAATAAATTCATAATACACTGTAAAATAAAGCACAACCGTCACTATTATATCAAAAGCACAACATTGACCCTAATTCCGAAAATTAAATGAGAGAGGAGCCCACGTAAGAGAAGAAGTTGCAAAAAAATTAAAAACATGAGAATGAAATGACAGAAGAGCCCACGTGAGAGAAGTAGTTGGAAAAAAATTAAAAATATGTGAATGAAATGAGAGGAGCCCACGTACGAAAAGCAGTTGAGATGTTGAACCAATTCTATGCATGACAACATATACTGTAACCGGAATAAAGTAACTGTAGACCTCCGTCCCTGCTATACCACATGCACTGTAACCAGAATAACTACCAAGCCTAGGCCTTGGGTTCTAGGCATTTCTAGCAGATTGGCTTTGAATAAAGTCTCCGACCTCCGCAATTAGGTACCAAAGTTGGGGCAATTCAGGAAAGATATAGAAGCCATGGATGGCGTTTGGATACTCAATCAACTTCACTTCCTTCCCTGATTTCTTCAACCCCTCAACGTACCTCCTCTGCCAGTCCTGTAACGGATCACCACCACCAATCACCACCAACGTCGCCGGAAACTTCACCGCCGCCGACACATCACCACCACTCACCGCCTCATGGTTTCGGTCCGATCCTATTGGCAAAAACAACCTCCACATCCAGTCTGTACGTTTCACATTCAGAAATGGAGCTCTACTGAGCCGGAGTTCCGATTCACTGCGCTCTTCTCCACCGAAGAACGGCTGTATCTCTACCAAACCAATAATATTCAGCTTCTCAAACTCGTGTCGGCCGTATCTGACGGCCACGTAGTGGGCTATGTTGCCGCCGGAGCTGTCGCCGGCGAGAAAACAACGGTTGAGATCAATGTTGGAGGGTAATACTGCGTAGTTATGGGCGTCGATGAATTTGAGGGTTGCAAAACCGTCGTCGTATTGGGAAGGGTAGCGGTGGTTGGGGGCGAGGCGGTAGTTGACGGAGGCGACGGTGACTTGGAGATGAGCGGCGAGGTTGCGGCAGAAAAGGTCGTAGGTTTTGGAATTGGCGGCGGAGGAGAGGAATCCGCCGCCGTGGAAGTAGATGAGTAGAGGGAGGAGGGTGGTGGTGGAGGAGGAGGAGGGGAGGTAGAGGTGGAACCAGAGATTGCTTGAAGGATCGACGGCGATGTCGGAGGAGGAGACTCCATTGATGGGTTTGGAGGAGGGTGGAGATTTGGGTTCAAGGATGCGGACGAAGCGGAGGATGCGGTGGGAGAGACGACTGGCGTCGAGTGCGAAAGAGCCCAAGTGGACCACTAGGCGGGTCTTCCATGGAAGCTCAGCAGCAACAGCAGCACCACATGAACTCTGTTTAACGTCCATTCCTCAATTCTGTCTTTTCGTCACAATAACGGAAACTTATTTTTTTATATGTGACCACTACCAGAAGAAGACCGGCAAATTCCTCCTTAATTTTTTTGTATTTTTGGGTAAAAATTTCCTCCTTAATTATACATGGTTGGAATAGGATCTAAAATCCGAATTGATGACATGTTTATTTTATGAGAAATGTTAGTAATCATGAAAAAAATTTCATGAAAATGATTATAAAATATTTGTGATCCTTAGATTACCTTGATTAGTGTGTGGTGTTTTATTCTAAGTACAATCCAAAGGTCACAAATCTTTTATGATCATTTTCATGAAAGACTTTTCATGATACGTAACATTGCTGTTATTTTATTAAATATTTTATATATTTTATTCATAAAAAAATTAAAGTGATGTCACCATTGACCACCACCAGAAGAACAAGCTGGCAAATTCAAAGTAAAGGTCAATTATATACAGGAATGGTCACTTCCTTATTTATTTATTTATTTTTTTTATCCATATTGATAATATGAACAGTTTATCTCGTAGTAAAAATTATTTATATAAAACATTAATTTCAACACATATTGGTAAGTAAATAAACAAATCACATTATGTTTTATAGAACAGATGATTATAGTTGTCGTCTATTTAAAAAATAAGATTAATTTATGCATATGTCTAGTGACATTTGATGAAAATTAATTTTTTTTTGTAAATTTAATCTTTGTTGTTGCACTTATGAAATAAATAGTTTAAATCATTGTTATGAACCCGTGATAAGACCCATAAAATAGAGTATAAAGTGATATAATAGATAGTGGTATAGAAATGAGTCATTCTCATTAGAAAAATGCCAGAGGCCTCAAAATTTCTATCAAATGTTTTACCAAATATGTAAGACCCCACACTTATGTGGGACCCATCTCATGTAAGATATTTAGTAAAACATTTGGTAGAAATTTTAGTATCCCTAATATTACTCTTCTCATTATACATTGGCTCCTCCGCGGCCCAGCATAACTTTCGTATTATAGGCTCACTCACATGAGCATTGTGTTCTCGTGTTATTTATTTATAGGAGTGAGGTTGGACGACATGTGGAGCTTATCACGGGTTTTAGTTTTATTATTTGAACCGTTTATGCTTTAGGACATTTTGTGTAAATCATCCATAAAAAAAATAAAAATAAAGACAAGATTAGGAATTAGTTAAAATGATTAAAAAGTCAAAAAAACTACTACTAAAAAGCCAACTATTATTTTTATTTTTTTACATGTCTTTTTATAAAAAAAAAAACGAAAAAGTCAACTAAAAGAACTAGTTCTCAAAACAACCCTAAGTCAATATGATATTCGTAATTATATAATTTTATCATATTTGTTTGCGAGACAATGTATGATCTATTTATTTTCAAAATCATTCTTATCATTCATTTTTTAAAAAATAAATGCGATAAAACTATGTGTTTCCTATATTGGATCGACTTGATTTTTGTTTTGAAAGATCTAAACAAGGAGACTTAAAAAATAAACAGCTCAGATGATTGAAACGAAACTCGTGATTTACCTCCTGAACCCGAACAATGACGTCCAACTTTATATATATATATATATATATTTAAATGTAGGAAATTCTACAATACAGTCTTAAAAAAAGGGGTGTATCTATGTTCTTATTACAATTTTTTGTTATAATCTATTATGTGGTAGTTATGATTTAATTGTGATCTACTGTAATTATTTTTTATGATTGAAGAGGTTTTATATTATGTTTCAAGTGATATTTAGTTATGAATTATTGTGGTCCCTTTGAAGATTTGTTTATGATACACAATAATATAAATATCACAAAGGGAACAGCTTCTTTCCAATGAATTTTTCAACTGGAGCTTTTGGGCCTCTGTAGGCCCACTACGAAACCTATATCGATGATTGAACCGGTCAATGCATAGGGCTCGTTGAGTACTTCATTCTTGTAAAAAATCATATTGATTAGATATCAATAAATACTTGATTAGATCACATTTGTGTCAATAATTTATTTTTAAAATCATAGTCATCGTTGGTACAAATTTAATATGATTAAGTGATTATCGATATCCGATGAACATAATTTTTTCTAAAAATAAAGTATTCAATGGGACCTACGATATGAATTCCATAACGAGCAACAAAACCTAACATGTTATAATTTGATTTTAAATTGAAAAAAAAAATGCCTGAGCACTATCACAAAATCTCAAAAATTACTTATGATACACTTTTTTTTAGAAGTGTATTGTAAAATCACTTAACAAATGAGGACAACAAAATGGGGTATCAATGGTGCTATCATATTTTGTCCCTTTTTTTTTTTAGACAAGTACTAGAAGAAGGCCTACAAATGCGAATTAAAGGTCAATTATACATGAAAAGGCCTGCAAATGCAAATTAAAGGTCAATTATGGCATACTATTTTTTTTTAAGACCCGTCTCTTCCACGCAATAATGGAAAGTGAAATTTTTATATGTGACCATTATCAGAAGAAGACCGTCTAACCCAAATTAAAGGTTAATTATGGGGGAATTACGTGTGGTGGGAGAACGAAAAAAAAATTACGCGTCATAACTTTTATTTGCATCTTATTATAGATACATTTACACTTCATTTGTTTGTAATTTTTTTTCCCTATTCTCCTACTTGTATGTAATTCCTTCTTAATTATACATGAAATAGGATCTAAAATCTAAATTGGAGGGTATTGTTCAAGTCTGTGAACTTATTACGGGTTTTGTTTTAATAATTTCAACAATTTATTTTATCAAATATTTTGTATATTGCATTCATTAAAAAAGTTAAAAGTGATGTCACGACTCACCACCACCAGAAGAACAAGCCAACAAATCCAAATAAAAGGTCAATTATATATGGGAATGTCAGCGCCTTGACCCCAAAAAAATAATTCTTTTGTGCTCCCTAGGACTTGAACTCCTGACTAAGGAGTCACCATGCACCCAATCCACTCTGCCACTCTGCCAATAACATACTTCTTGTTCACATTTGATAAAAAAAAAAATATAACCCATAAAAATTGGGTTTTATATTATTTTATAAAACTTTTAATGCCTAAATAGAAAAATAGCATGTAATTACTGTAGTATCATTTTTTAAAAAAATTTATCCCGCCATAACTTTCTGCGACCAACTTTTTTTTTGGTCACCAAAGGGTAATCTTTCACGACAAAAAAAGCCTATGGTCGCCAATAGTAGACTTTTCGCGACCAACTTTTATTTTTGGTCGCTAAAAGGTGATCTTCCGCGACCAAAAAAGCCTTTGGTCGCCAATAGTATACTTTCCGCGACCAACTTTTTTTTTTGGTCGCCAAAGGGTATACTTTCCGTGACCAACTTTTTTTTTGGTCGCCAAAAAGTGATCTTCCGCAACCAAAAAAGCCTTTGGTCGCCAATAGTAATATACTTTCCGCGACCAACTTTTTTTTTTTGTCGTCAAAAGGTGATTTTCCGCGACCAAAAAATTGTGGTCGCCAAAAGTTAAATTTTAGTCGCAGAAAGTGGACTATTTGCGACCCAAAAAAATAGGTGGTCGCCAAAAGTGTTTTTTCTTGTAGTGATGGAAAGTGAAATTTTTATATGTGACCATTATCATCAGAAGACCGTCTAACCCGAATTAAAAGGTTAATTATGGGGGAATTACGTGTGGTGGGAGAACAAAAAAAAATTACGCGTCATAACTTTTATTTGCATCTATTATAGATACATTTACACTTCATTTGTTTGTAATTTTTTTTCCCTATTCTCCTACTTGTATATAATTCCTTCTTAATTATACATGAAATAGGATCTAAAATCTAAATTGGAGGGTATTGTTCAAGCCTGTGAACTTATTACGGGTTTTGTTTTAATAATTTCAACAATTTATTTTATCAAATATTTTGTATATTGCATTCATTAAAAAAGTTAAAAGTGATGTCACGACTCACCACCACCAGAAGAACAAGCCAACAAATCCAAATAAAAGGTCAATTATATATGGGAATGGTTACTTCCTTATTTATTCATATATATATATATATATATATATATTTACCTATAATAATGATATCACTACAATAAATTATACTTTTAGCGACTAAATTTTTGATCGTCAAAGATTTTTGCCGACTAAAATTCTTGATCGCCCGTTTGGTCGTTAACTAATTGTCGGCAAAAGAATTGGTGGCTAATTTTTTTTTAGTCGCCGAAACTCACCTATTGGCAACTAAAATTTTATTCGCCCAAAAGAAAATATTTAGTCTCCAAAAAAAATATTTTTCATCTACATTTTTTTAGCTACCAATTTTTTAGTCGCTCAAAATGTGACACTTCTTTTTGGCTACTAATTTTTGTCCCTAAAAATGTGGCACTCCTGTTTGGCTACCAATTTTTTAGTTGCTAAAATCATGGTGCTCCTTTTTAGCTACTAATTTTTTAATCGCCAAAAACTTTCATTTTTTTTTTTTTTTTTGAGTACTAACTGTTTAGTCGCCAACAAGTTTCCTTTTTATTTTTTGGCTACTAAATGTTTAGTCGCCAAAGGCTCTATTTATTAATCTTTTTTTAAAATGCACAAATTGAATATTTTTCATTAATTTCAAAATTATATGCATTCCATTATCAATGCAACATGTAACCTGTACATATTTAGAATAATACATCTATCAATTATAATCTAAATCCATTATCAATAATACCCATTTCATTATCAACTATCCAAAAACATTAACTTGCAACATCTTATTCCAAATATCAAATAAATTCATACCAACCAAGTATAATTCATCTAAATTAAATATTACATACAAAAACACCGAATTTCCAAAACAGATGATTGTACAAAAATAAATGTCTTCTATATACAGAACAAATGCTCTTTGCACACAAAAATAAATATTCAATAAAATTGATATTTCAAATTATAACAATCAATGTTAAAATAGCTACGTGCTTCAATGCAATAATCATGCATC